TTCCCATCAAGTTTCTGCAAGCGCGGGCCCCAGTCAACATGGATGCGTTTCTCCCCTCTTGGTTGATGGGCGCAGCTCGTCCAGACGCCGTCCGTTCGGCGGCGCCGATGTTATCTCGCGAACTTCCCATCGCCATTTTCATTTCTGGAGGCCTTGTTCTTGTTCGGTTGATCAAATTTATACCCCGCTTTTAATCATAATTTTACGCTTAAGCGGGAAAGCGGGCGACATCGGATCCGCGGACCCCAGATACCGCTTGTGTAAGGACCCTACGGGGTAATAGGGGGTCGGCCATCAACTTCCCATGATGGATCCTGCGCTGTCCCGCGCAATCCCATGAACTTTCCGCGAGCGCGGGTCCCAGTCAACATGGATGCGTTTCTCCCCCATTGGTTGCAGCACGCACTTTGTCCGATCGGCGGCGCCGATGTTATCTCGCGAACTCGTCATCATCATTTTCACTACAAGAGGATCTTAGTTGTCATGTGGATCCAGTTTACACCTCCGTAGCAGTTTGTAGTACGACACTGAAGCGGGGAAGCGGGCGACATCGGATCCGCCGACCCCAGAAATTGCCCGTGTTAAGATTTTACGAGGGAAAGAAGGGTTCGGTCACCCATGTCCCAAAATGGGTTTTGTGCTGTTTCGCGCATCCCCTTCAATTTTCCGCGAGCGCGAGCCCCACTCAACATGGATGCGTTTCTCGTTGTCCCGGTTGGTGCACGCAGCTCGTCCACACGCCGTCCGTTCGGCGTCGCCGATGTTATCTCGCGAACTCCTCATCGCCATTTTCACTTCAAGAGGATTTGTTCTTCGGCGGTTCCGACTTATACCCCGTTTTCAATTTCCACAAACAGCTAAAGGCTTAATGCACAAGCGCGCGATATGCGTTGCCAGTGTTGCTACGATTTACAAGCTAGTCGCCGCGTTCACCTTTGAGCCAGCGCGGGATGTAACTCAGGGCCCTGGCGATCGCGAGGTTGCCAGCAAGTTTTGCGAGTTATTGGTTGAAGAAAACACAGTTCCAGTACTCGCCTCGCAAGAACCACTCTGCGCAGGCCAGCGAGAGCCTAGATCTTTCGCAGCCGCAGCCCAATGCGAAGCGCATTCGCAAGCGGCCAGCCAGTTATGCGGCGCAGTCGGTTTGTATTCGTCGCGTTGGCACTCGGATTCTTGACCGCGCAGTGCCTTAACCTTGCTCGCTATTATGCAGCCGCCGCCGCGCGCCACTGGATGCTTCCACTCAGGCATGGCCGCGCGGAATGCTATATATATATATATATATATATAATATATATATATATATATATATATATATATACACATATGTACAGAAACCGAACCTGCTTTGGAAACAACATGGAATATTAAGATACATACAGCATGAACAGTTTGTGCATGTTATACACAAATATATAATCATAGAGAGAAAGAGAGAGGGATACCTATACATATATATATATATGTATCGAGAGAGAGGGGCCCTATATAAGCACATACAGAGATAGAGAGCAACAGAGATAACTAGAGAGAGAGAGAGAGAGAGAGAAACAAGACAAATCACGAGCGAGAGAGAGAGAGATAAACATAACGAGAGAGAGAGAGAGAGAAAGAGAGATAGAGAGAGAGAGAGAGAAGGAGAGAGCTCCCTACGTAGTCTTTTCTTCCCCTCACGGGGGGTGGGGCGATCCCATTACCATTGGGGGGGCTGGAGCCATTGATCATACATGCCGCGCATTGAGGCTTCAGGGTCAGACCTATGGAATGCACGTACGTAGTCGTCGTTGCCGTTCGTTCGGTAGCAGGCCATCGGAGCCATGTATGTTTTCTGGATTCGGTTTTGCAGAGTGCACTCGCGTGCGCCAGCGCCTGGCAGCCGATGGGAAGGTGCAGATGCAGCGTCGATCTAGCGTCAAATCGCAAGAGCCAACAATATGTCATGGGATGCTCACATAGTGCAGCCAACGCGCATAGTGATGACGCGCGCCTTTTCTAGGGTACTCTTGTATCCTTGCCTGTGCGGCCCACCCTTTGCCGTTTCCACGGGCTAGCCTCTCAGGCCGCCGCCCATCAAATCCCAATTTCGGTCTCCAAGGGTTTTGCGTCCTTGCCATCCGTCCTTGCTACACGTTTTCAATGTCTGGTGTCGCGCGTCGGAGTTCGTCGTCGTGCCCGCCGCCGTCGCCCCGCACGGGGAGGCCAACTTGCACGGCGCCCCCCTGCTGGTCGGCGCGGCCGCCCGCGGCGGCTGCCAGGCGCCGTCGGCGCGGCCGCCGGCGCGCGCGCGGGGGCGGCGCGAATCCACCGCTTGTTTTATGTTGATCGCATCGCACTTAGGGACCACATCCCAGGCATAGTTTCGAGCACCCAGAAAGGTGTCAACACAGTGTCGAACGAGTATCGCCTCCCAGGGCCCGACACGCGAAAACCCTACATCTTCGGTAATTTCTTGGTGCTCGAAATTCATTTTGGCGGTAAGGCTAAGACAGGTTGGAACATCATAACTTTTGGTTGCCCCCCCCAAGGAGGAGCTGTAGGTTGGAGTTGGCTGAGGGTCTCAGTTGGCCCAGCAGTGGTTCTAGCGAGCATGAAAGGGGGGGGCGAGGTGAAAGTTTCGAGAAGGTGTTCGGCCATTTCGGCCTCATCCTGGGGCCGCTTTGGGGCTTCAGCTTTGTCAAAAACGGACCCACGGTGAAACACTGCACCAGATGGATTCCACAAGGGGTCTCGCAAAAACGATGTTGAGCGAATTTGTCTTCATCCCCCCCTTTCTTGAGATTTTCCCGAGGTTCATCCAGTTCAGACTCCCGGGCCGCCTCCGACCAGGAACTTTGGGTCCGAGTAGATGGTGTCGGAAGATCGCGCCGCATCGCCGATGCATCGGCGATGCGGCATCGGTGATGCATCGTCTATATGGCGCGATCCTCCGACCTCATCTACTCGGACCCAGTTTGGGAGGCCCCCAAGGAAGCTCCCTAGATCTCCGACAGATTTGTTTTCCGTTTGGGATTTGTTTCTGGACTTCGGCTGTGGGAGCTTTTCACCGGGTTCTGGGGCCACCAGAAATCCAGAAATTGATCTGGGTCGCAAGTCTCCCGCCAGGGAAGGGGTCGGGAGTTCATCATATCGGAGGATGTGTGGGTCTGCCGGCGGTTCAAATCTGGCCCCTCAGGGGCAACGCTAGGTGGGGGGATGCGTCGACCCCCAATCGCCAATTCATCGCCGATGCGGGCCCGATAGCTCCCCTCGCCCAGGAGCGTGCGGACTCGCCACCGGGGACCCATCGCCGATCTGTCGGCGATGCATCGCCGATTCCAGGTCGATAGTTCCCGCTCCCCCCCCCCCCCGAGCTGGTTCCCCCGATCGGTTCCCCTCACCTTTCAGAAGGAGCCCCAGGAAGCTGCATCAGTGGCTCAGAGATGGGGCTGTGAGGGACGGGCCCCCCAGGGCGAGGGGCCTCAAACAGAGAGTAAACCCAACGCGGGGCCCCTTCCTGCCCCTCGGCTTCCATCTCGCGGGACCCCATCTTTGGACCGGCGAGCCCTAGTCTGATCCAAGAAGCACCGCGGGCCTTCGAATGTGTCATTCGGGATGTTGTTGTTGTTGTTGTTGTTGTTGTTGTTGGTGGTGGTGGTGGTGGTGGTGGTGGTGGTGGTGGTGGTGTTGTTGTTGTTGTTGTTGTTGGTGGTGTTGTTGTTGGTGTTGTTGGTGTTGTTGTTGTTGTTGATGTTGTTGTTGTTGTTGTTGTTGTTGTTGTTGTTGTTGTTGTTGGTGTTGGTGTTGTTGTTGTTGTTGTTGTTGTTGTTGTTGTTGTTGTTGTTGTGGTTGTTGTTGTTGTTGTTGTTGTTGTTGTTGGTGTTTGTCTGCTGTCTGCTGGGGGGTGGGGCAGCAGGGGCCCCCAAGGAAAGCCTCCAGGGGGGGGGGGAGGGGGAGGAGGCCCAGGGAGCTCGTCGAAGGGGGCTCGGGGGAGGCGACGGGAGGCCCCAGAGGAGGGCCCCCCCAGGAGTGCCCGGCCGGGGCCCCAGGAGTCGTCCGAGGGGCTCAGAGGAAAGGTCCCAGGAGGGCCCCAGGAGGCCGCGGCGAGACCCAGGAGTCGCAGGAGGCGGCAGAACAAATTTCGGCAGAGGGATGCCGGACCCACATGACGAAGAGCTTTTTGAGGAAATGGTTGCGGTCTCTTCTTCGCCTCCTGGGGTAGTAGACAGTGACCAGCACCCAGCCATCGATCCAAAGCTCGACTGGGAGGCGAAGATCAGCATCGGCGCTAGTACATCCGTGGTCAGAAACTAGCTTCATCCAGCCCTTTTTTCGCCTAATCTGGCTAATATTGACGTGATTTGATCTGGCGTAACTATGTGCGTAATCTGAGCTAATCCGGCCTTGCGGCTTTTCAACGTTCTCACGAAAACCTCGCAGGAGTTGCCTCCGAATCTCTTGGGGACTTCTTGGTGGCCCTTGGGGCCTTGGCCGCCTCTTTGCCGGGTGGGGTTGGGACCGGGATGATTCGATTCAGAGCGTTCTGGAATGCTACTTCCTAGACGTGCGATGTTATGATTTTTCCAGACGCGGTCCCTGGAGGTCAGACCGTTTCCCCAGAGCCTGTTTCATCCCAAGTCGTTATTTGACGGATGCGGCCTGGTGAGGGCCCCAAGAGTTTGAAAATGATTGACATCTTCCGCGATTTGGGCACCTTTGGGTCCCGGTCCGATCTGGTCCCAGATCTTGGCGCCGTCTTGTTTTTGCACCCTTTTCGGGGGCCCGGCCCCCAGACGGTGCGGTGACCACACCGCGTGGTGAGGCAGCGGGGATTCGGGTCCACCGCACTGTTTTGGGACGGGAGTCTTTCTCCCAGGGCGTCTGGGGCGCCTGGGGCCTCCGAGGTCCCACAGCCGTGCGGTGACGGACCGCGCGGTGAGCTCGCCTGGGGATTCTAAGGCCACCACGCGGTCCCTTTTGTGCAGGGGCCCACAATTCGCGGATGGCGGGGTGCGCTGGGCCCCATGCCCTCGGCGCGGAGGCACGCCGCGCCACGCTGCCTGGCTTCGAGGCGCAGGAGCCGGCCCGGGGCCAGGGCAGCTCCAGGGGAGGGTCCCCACCTCCTGGGAAATTCGGGGGTCGAGGAGGAGGAGGCAGGATCGAGGGTCGAGGAGGTCTGGAGAGCGTTGCTTCATTGCCCGACGGGCGCGACTGGGGGGTGGCAGGGGGCGGGGCGGTCTCATCACGATTCGCGCTGCGGCGCCGTCTGGGACTGGGGGTGGGGGTGGGGGTGGGGCCCGTCACGGGCGTGATCGCGAATGGTACAAGCTGGCTCTTGCTGGGCGCCCCTGGAAGTCCTGGGGCTCAGCGGGGTCCGCTTCCTGGAGAAGGTGGCGAATTCCTGAAGTGTCGGGAAAGCGTGAGACTCGAGTTCACGGAGGCGCGAGTGTGCTGACGCGTCGTAGCGGGCCCCTGCTGAATGTGTGGCGGTCCAAGTTTCGTGGGATGTCTGCAGCGGAGCTCGCGCCAAAGTTTGGACTGGATCTCATTTTTTTGACGGCCCCGTCAGGCCAACCCGAGTCCTCTGAATTCGAGTCTTGCGTCTGCCCGATAGCGGTGACCGCCCTTTGAATTGCCTGGCCTTTGTAAACCCTCGCGCGCTCGGCCCGCGCGGCCAGCCTCCGCAAGCGGGCTGGGCCGGGCTCCGGATTCGCCACTGGCCATCTTCTCGCAGGCCCCGGGCCCCCTCGAGCCTGGGATAAAAAAACGACGGGAAATTGTTCGGCTTTGGGATCTTGGAGGTTTTCGTCGGTGTCTGCAGGTGTCCTAGTTCGCCTCGGGCTCCTGCAGCTGCGCCTCGGCGAGAGCGTGCTGGCGGTGCCCGAGGATCGTCGGCCGCCGGATGCCCGAACGGGATCTCGATTGGTCTGGAACAAGAGCCACGACCGGACCAGTTCCTCCTCTCCTCCTCCTCTTCCTCCTCCTCCTCCTCCTCCTCCTCCTCCTCCTCCTCCTCCTCCTCCTCCTCCTCCTCCTCCTCCTCCTCCTCCCTCCTCCTCCTCCTCCTCCTCCTCCTCCTCCTCCTCCTCCTCCTCCTCTCCTCCTCCTCTCCTCCTCTTCCTCCTCCTCCTCTTCCTCCTCCTCCTCCTACCTACCTACCCCCTTCTATTCCCTCCTCGTCTTCCCTCCTCCTCCTCCTCCTCTCTCCTCCTCCTCCTCCTCCTCCTCCTCCTCCTCCTCCTCCTCCTCCTCCTCCTCCTCCTCCTCCTCCTCCTCCTCCTCCTCCTCCTCCTCCTCCTCCTCCTCCTCCTCCTCCTCCTCCTCCTCCTCCTCCTCCTCCTCCTCCTCCTCCTCCTCCTCCTACCTCCTCCTCCTCCTCCTCCTCCTCCTCCTCCTCCTCCCCCCCCTCCTCCTCCTCCTCCTCCTCCTCCTCCTCCTCCTCCTCCTCCTCCTCCTCCTCCTCCTCCTCCTCCCGCTGTTCTCAAACTCTACGGTTTTCGAACTCTGGGGCCCCCCCATGCCCCGCGCCCCCGAGGGCCAACTCGGCGCTTTCATGGGCTCCTTCGATGGTTCTTTCGGGCCTGGGGCTGGTTCTGGGAGGCTCCAGGGTCATCTTCCCCTCCTCCTCCGTTCCTCCCGTCTCCTCCATCCTCCATCCGCCATCCCTCCCAGCCTCCATCCTCCATCTCGCCTCCTCCTCCTCCTCCTCCTCCTCCTCCTCCTCCTCCTCCTCCTCCTCCTCCTCCTCCTCCTCCTGGCTCAAGCCCCTTGGCTCAAGGGGCTCAGAGGGGGACGCGAGCGCGAGGGGGCGCGGGGCGCGAGCGCGAGCCATCCGCCGGGGAGCGGCGCGGCCCGGTGCGCGCCGGTGCTGCCCAGCGGCCCAGCGGGCTCTGCCAGGCGGCGCGGCGCGACAGGCGCGGTGCCTGCTCTGGCGGCGCTGGGTGCCTGCGCCGGCGGCGCTGCGGCTACGACCCGCAGGGGCAACGTGGGGTCATGTTTTGGTTGCTTCGCCTCGTTCTCGGGGGCGGCGAAGCGGGGGGTGATGATTATAGGGGGGGGGATATCATGGCGTGGGCCATGATAACTGTTTCCCCATACTTCATGGCGCCTCTTCTTGTTTCATTACGTCCCTGGCCCCCCCTCCGGGCCGCGCACATGCCGCTGGCCATGATTTGCGCCCCCCCCTCTTGGACGCCCCCCTCTTTGCCGCCCCCCACATTCGCGTTCAACATGCATCTGCGACTGAGTTTCGACAAGGCAGTGCCGAAGCGGACACAGGTGTCTCCGTGCAAGCTTGCGCCAGGAGCCCCGCGGGCGCAGAGGCGGAAGCAATGCAACAGGAGACACAGAGAGGGACAAAGAGAACGTGTTCCTCGAGTCGGCCATCGCAGCAGTAGAGGAGAAAACGGACGATCGTGGCGTTCGGATCGTTGCTTTGCAGTCGTCGGTGTTGGAAGAGGCGCAGCGGCAGATCACGCAGATCAAGAAAGCTCCGCCCTCATCGACGGCAGCGGCCAGGCCAATCCGCCGGATGGCTGCGTGGGAGAAGGAGTATAACCACGGCATTATTTCGTAATGGGCAGGTTCGGGTAGAATACGCGCGACCAGGAGCTGTTCGACCGCGCGATGGGCATCCTGACGGAAGTGCAGGCTCCGGAGCCGAAGGCTCTGAAGGCGTCCTTCGCGCACGGGAGCATGGTGGAGCTGTCATTCGAAATTGCGGACGTGGGCAAGGAGGTGGTGGCGGAGGTGAACGCCCTGAAGAAGATCGTGCACGGCGCATTCCCGGCGCTCAGGAGCACGACGAAAGGCTGGGGGGGACGTCCGCCCCCCGCCCTGCGGCAGGTCCAGGAGGCGATCAAGAAGTCTCAGCAGGACCGCGCGTTGCTGGAGGTCCCAGGGGGTCCTGGAGGGTGTACATCAAGGATTCCTGCTCTTGGGCACATGATGCAGGACGCGTGGAAGTGGAGTAACGATGAGGATCCGAAGTACGGGGCTCCGCGCACGCCGGTGCAGAGCGCCATGAGTATGTGACGGGAAGACTTTCACGAATGGCTGGTTGCTAGCATCAACGTGCGGCGGAAACGCACGGGGCGCGCTGACATGATGCGACTGGCAGCTGAGCTGGCAATCCGGGACTGGGCCATCCTGGTCTCTTCGCCTTTCTCGAGTGCGATGGTCGACTGGCGTCCGGCGACGGGAACGGGGAGCTTCGCCGGGCCCTCGAAGGACATGGGTCGATCTGACAATACGGGGGAGGGGGGCAGGACGCCCCACCGGCTTCTAATTCACAAAGGGCGTTGGAAGCACGCGACGGGCGTGGATGCCGCTGAAAGATCTGCGCCGGTCGACCTGCGAGTTCCACTTCCACGTGAAGCACGGCGCCAGCTACATCAGTAGCACCATCATCGTTTGCAGGGGTATGGTTTTTCGACAGATTCGGGAAGTTCGTCGTCGTGAGCTCTGCGACACGTCGGCGGCAGTGGTGAGGAGGAGGGCCAGGTGGAGGGAGCTTCGGTCGTGTCCACTCGCGGGATTCACGGGGATCGCGGAAAGGATAGCTTGGAGGAAGCGGCGCGGTCGGGTCGGAGGAGGCCAGGGGGGGCAAATTCTCGCTGGCGGGGGACATGAGCTGCGACAGGGGGAAGCGGGGGAGAGGAGGTCAGGAGGGGCTTTTTTGTGCGCTGCCAGAAACCGTTGAGAGTCATAATGCTGGACGCCGATTCCGATGTCTCCGGCGCGATGAGAAGCGCCGCCAGGTTCCAGGGCAGGCTCAACTGGGCGATAAGGCTTGGTTGGGTCATGCATGCGTCTCCTCTGGGATGGACTTCGCACCGCTTCGGGCCGATCTGCGGTGGGCAGGGGTTTGTGGGATCGCGCTACGGTTGCTTTGCGAGCGCATCTGTCTGTGGAGCGGGCGCCGCCCGCGAGAATGGCGAATTGGGGGTTTCGGGGTCCATTGCAGGTTGCGGAGACCACCGCCGAACGCTCCAACGGCCATTTCTGGTTCGTGGACTGGCCATGCCCAGACAGCGCGCGCGGGCTGATGTCCATGGGTCTCGGGCCAGAGGCGGCGCGGGGACTCGCTCGCCCCAGACTCTACACCGCGCCAGAAGAAGCGGAAGATGTCATCGCTGCTCAGTCGTTTTTTACGCGTAGGTGGCACATCGGATGAGAGTGGGCCAGAAGCGGAGGATTCGACGGAAGTGCCTGGAGAGGTTTTGGACCAAACGGAAACGGGATCATGTCATATGCTTTCTTCAGGAGGGAAAAACACACACCTCCACAATGAATCGCCAATTCCCCAACGAATGCGAAAAGTGCGGGCGGCGGGGGGGAAGGCCAATGCCCAGAACATATGAGAACATCTCGGGAATATTGTGATTTGTGTGTATTTATTCCTGTCCAAGGCCCTGCATTTCTGGGAGGATATGAACGGCTTCTGCGGCAGGCAGACCAGCGCAGGGCTTTCATTCAAACTAAAGGCGAGTGGAAGCGGGGCGCCATGCAGTCGCTGCTGGTTCTTCAAGGGCTACGAGTCTGGCAAAGTGCAGAACGCTTAGGCCAGCTTTCGCGTTCAAGGTGAGCGAGGGCTCGGTGCGCAACCGCGATCAGCTTGCGAAGCTGGCCAAAGTCGAGTTCGCGAATAGATGGTGCCTCGACGAGGCAGTTGGCATGGTCGACGCAGATTCTGAGAACTCGATGCGCCATGAGTAGCGGCGGCATCACATTCGCAAGATAGGAGGCCGATTGGGGGCCATGGCAGGCGTCCGGCGGGATGGTAGAACTTACGAGCGGGGCGCGTGCGTTGGGCTACTCCTGACGTTCATGGCGGGCCAGAAGCAAGCAAATCAGTTGCTCGCCTTCTTAGCCCCGATTCGGCATGAGATGCATCATGTCCGCGGGAAGCATCAGCGACAATCCCGCGCTTGGATGGGCCGAAAACTCGCAAGGCCACTGGGCGAATGCCGCAGATCACGCCATGCAGATGCACTCGTCTTTGGCGCCCGCCGCGGCGGCCATTTGCACGGTGCCATCGTTGCCGCGACCCAGGCGGTGGGCGCGGGCAATGGCGGGATTGGCCAGGCTGCTGTCGCCGTCGCACCGCGACAGCGTCGCGCGTGGACCGGTGCATGCATTACTACCTGGACGTGGACTTTCCCAAAGCACGGTCGCAGCAGCCGTGCTTTCGCGCCGGCGACCGCGCGTCAGCTCGAGGGTCGGCGCCGCTCTATCCAGCCCGGTCGCCAGGTTTATTCACGGGGGCGCAAACGGCCGGAAAGTTGTCGAGGGTGACCGTGGAGGACGCCATCGCGGCCTGCTGGAACTCATGGTCATGCGCGGAGAAGTGCGTCCTGATGGACAGCCCCTGGCCACGGGACGCGAGCTGGTATAATCATCGATTTGCTTTCGCTCGCAGTGCATTGGGCGCCGCGAAAATGATGGGGGGCCTGGGAGAAACAACTGCAGAAACTTCGCGGGCTGCAGATCAGGACAACAGCAGGGAGATCATGAAAGCATCCTGCGTGCATTATTGCAGGTCGTGGAAGACGCTGGCGTGCAAAGCCTGCGCGCAGACTGCTCGGGCCACTAGCGCCATGCGCCGGCGGCGCGGCAGAAGACACCGAAAGAACCACCGGCGCCATCTACCAGGCGCACTTCAAGAACGCCCGCTTGCTCGCCAATCAAAAACTGGACCTTGAGCGCATGGCGAAGTTCACGAATCAAATGGCATTGGGGGTTATACGATCAAGAGCCGCTGCGTGGTCGCCGACGCGGCGGGCGCGCGAATCCTCCGGCGCACGCCATGCAAAAGTGCTGACGTGGAGGGCAAGAGAAAGAATGCAGCCCGGGGAGACATTCAAGCGGTTTGTATCGAGACAGGCACACTTTACGAGGACAGCGAAACTGGAACCGTGGTCAAAAGTTCTAGGCCTCCTGGATGGGGTCGGAGTAGATGGGGTCGGAAGATCGTTCCGCATCGCCGATGCGGCTCGATGCGGAGCCCGGTGTGCTTCACGCGGACGTCGCCGATGCATCGCCGACGTCGCCGATGCATCGCCGATGTATCGCCGATGCGGCGCGACCCTCCGACCCCATCTATTCCGGCCCCATCTAGGAGGCCTCTAAAAGTGCATTTGGAGTCAGCTGCATGGTGGCTTTCGCATGCCCAGCGCCACCCTGAAAACGCGGCGAACCGAGCCATCATCTGCCAGGGCCCAGCGCGGGCGGCGAAGCGATGCCAGCGCAGTTTCGACATGGTGAAGGGCTGGAACACAAGAACCGGCACGATCAGCTCTCGGGGCAGGGTGTTCAGATGCGACAGTTCTGGGTTGACAATAAGGCACAACCCAAGAGGCACGACAAACCGGGAGACAATGCGACATGTATCACAAAATGCAATGGAAGAGCTTGGCGTCAAGCCTCACACCTCCAGAAGCAAACAAGAGATGGGAGAAAAGCAAAGTCAGGTAGTAACCCCGCATCAGAATCATCCTCTTCGTCCTTCTCTTGCTGCACTATGACGTGCGCCCAGTGGCGGTCGAATTTATTTCAGAGACGTATTCAGGTGTTGCCAGAAGACTATGGGCAAGATCCTCTCGATTCCTTCCTGCCCCACCCTTTCCCTTCTGACCCTGGCCGAATGCTAGTAGCAGTTGCCATTTCCCTTGATGCTCTGCATCGTTTGTTCAGTTTCTCCGTTTTTTTTTCCCGCCCGCGTTGAGGTGAGAGCACGATCGCTGACTAATGGTGGGGGGTATATCGGGCGAAACGGTTGCTGGACCGAACGTCCTAGGGCGCCCCGTCCCCCTGGTGGGACGATTGGGTAGTTTTTGTTGCCGCATTTGGGCATTTTTGCAGCGAGACGCCACTAGGGAACACAAGGTGCCGTCAGGGTCGTCGGACAAAAGCAACCGTGTAGGAGAATGTGGGTGGCGTCTTCGCTTCCTTGACTTGCGCTAGTTTGTTTCAGCTTGGTTTGATGCATCTACTGTCGCACCAGATTGGCGCCTGCTACGTATTCTTCCTAGGACACCACACGCGGGCGTGCTGTTTTCGTTCGGCGGGCCAGGGGGGCATTCGTGTACTTGGGTAGCACCGTGCGCCCTGACGCCCAAGCCGTGCTCGAGTTGCTCGAGGTTGCCGCGGTTAATACCCGAGCATTGCGTTTGTGACCCGTGGCCAGCCCTGACCGAATTCCGCTTGTGTGTGTTGGTCAACGCTGCCGTGAGGGGCTCGCTCGCTGCCCGGGGCAAGAAGGCACTGCTGCGGACCGCACCGAGGGAACGCAGGTCGTGTGAGGGCCGCGGGCCTGCCTGCTCGGGCCGTCCCCCCGCGGCCGCCCGTTCCAGGAGGCGGAGGAGGCGCGGTTAGCGCAGCTGGACGTGAAGATGTCGGAGACGTGGGCGGAGCTCCGACTGGAGCTTCGGGGCGAGGTCTGCCGCCCGTGCCCCCCTTCTATCTATCTATAGATCTATCTATCTATCGATCTATCTATCTATCTATATATATATATATATCTATCTATCTATCTATCGATCTATCTATCTATATATCTATCTATATATCTATATATATATATCAATATATCTATATATTTATATATATACACATATACATATATCAATATACATATATATATGTATTTATATTTTTATATATACATATATATATATATGTATCGACTATATATATGTATATATACATATATACACATATATCTCTATATATCGATATAGCTATTTATATATGCATATATATATATATGTATATGTATGCATGTAGGTCCGTATGTCTGTCTGTCTGTCTGTCTGTATGTATGTATGTGTATATATATATATATATATGTGTGTGTATGTACGTGTGTCTGTATTCCTCTGGGGTGCCATGCGGCGTCGCGACCTGCCTTCTCGGACTCCAGGCCGCCCGTCTGGGAGCCTTCCGGGCGGCCTCCGTGGGCTGTCCGAGGCGCCCCGAAAACCTTGTGAGGCGCACCCCTGTTGTGGTGAGCAGGGCGCTCACCCCCCCCCACTCCCCGTGGCAGAGGAGCCTCCGTGGTGATTGACGGGGATCGAAGAACAGCGAACAGCACCATCAAACATCATCTCTCCGAGGCCCGCGCGGAGTTCTGGGAGCGGCGATGGGCCCCTTTTGACGGCGCCTCCGGCGCCGCCTCTCGCTCGCTCCGCGCGCCAGCGAGGGAGGTCCAGTGGCCGATCCAAGAAATCCACGCGGGCCTCTCAGAAATCGAGGCCAGGCTGCTCTGGGACCTCTCAGAAATCCACGCGGACCTCTCAGAAATCGAGGCAGGTCTCAGAAATCCACGCAGACCCCTCAGAAATCTCAGAAATCCACGCGGACCTCTCAGCATAAAAGACATACATATAAAATCATGTTTGTACTGTTTCGGACGGCTTCGGATGAGAGGGTTACCTGCGCGGGTCACCCTTCACCCTTGGGGAGCGCGAAGGTGCTCTCGGTTCGTGCCTCGCGGCCTCGGATCGGGAGCCTTCCTTCTGTTCCTGGGCGGGGTCGGTGGAGCGTGAAGGCGGCCCGCGCCTCGTGTCCCGCCGTGGGCGAGGAGGCGGGGATGGCCTAGGCTCCCCGGCTGAGGTTCGACCCCTTTGGGGCCCGGCGAGGCGTCCCGGGGCGCCTCCAGTGTGGCGCTGCGGTGGGGCCTCGAGGCGGAGGAGGAAAAGGTATCCATGCCGCCGCTGCCTTTCCCTCGTTGTCACCTTTTTGGGCCGCCTGCGAGGCCCTCGTTTCGCCACGGTTGGATGTGCCTCGAAGTTCTAGTCAGAACCCACTCCGGGAGAGGTCCTGGGAGTAGCATTATTGGTACCTTGTGTTCTCGAGGCCGGGTGATTGTGGAGTCACACGGGATTCCACAGGGGTGTTCGTAGTGTCTGTTCCCTATTCTTGGTTATGAGCATTATTTGTATTTCACTATAGTTATCTCTCTATATAGATATGTATTTCTTTATTTATTGTTGCTTATTTCTCTTTCTCTCTCGCTCTCTCTTTCTCCCTCTCGCTTTACCTCTTCACTAAAAAGCGTACTGAAGGTGTCCATTAGAAAGCATCACAAAACGATTCCGTTGGAAAGCCTACTCAGGGCTTCTAGTGGAAAGCATTACAAATTAGTATGTTTGGAAAGCACAACAAAGATATCATGTGGCCTCCCAACAGGAATCCGCTGGGAACCATTATATTACCAAAGGGAGTCTATAGGAAAGCCTCATAATCGGAGCCGTTTGGAAAGCACTTCTCATGAGTTCTATGGGAACACATCGCAAGAGGAATCCTTTGGAAAGCGCCACAAACTAATTTTATTGGAAAGCCTCACACCAGTAATCCTTTGGAAAGCACCGCAAAGGAATTCTATTGGAAAGCTTCGCACTCGGAATTCTGTGCGAAGTGCTACAGGGGCTCCAGTGGATGGCCTCACAACGCTGATCCTTTGGAAAGCGCTACAAACATATTTTGTTAGACACAATCATACTTGGAATCCTTTGGAAAGCGCTCCAGAGGGACTCTGAAAACCTCGCAACTGGACTCTTGTGGAAAGGCATATAAAGTTTGTAGCGGAAAGCCTTCCAACAGAGATCTTTTGGACAGCACAAACAAGTTGTGTCGGAGCGCACGCAACAGGAATCTTTCGGGAAACAGCCCACGTGGTTTCTATGGCCTCGCGGCAGAAATCCTCTCGGAACCATGACAAAAAAAGATCTGATTGGAAATTATCGTTGAGGGTTTCTAGTGGGATGCATCAAAAGAGAAACCCGTAGGACAGCACCGCAAAAAAACACATCATTCGAATGGAAAGCCTCGCGCTTGGAACGTTGCGCGAAGTGGGAACACAGGGACTCCATTGTATGGCGTCACAACAGGGATCCGATGGACAGCGCTGTAAGACAAAACGCGTTATGTTGGAAACAATCATACTTGGATTCCGTTCGAAAGCGCCCCCGCAAGATCTTGTGAGAACAAACGACGGGGACCCTTTAGAAAGGAGTCTAACAGGTTCCATCGGACGGCCTCGCAATAAAGATCCGTTGGGCAGTGCAATGGCGGGAGTCTACTGGAGCGCCTCGCAACAGGAATCCGTTTGACAACACCGCACGGGATTCGATAGGGAAGTCTCTAAACAGGAATCCGTTGGACAGCAGCACGAAGAGCTTCCATTGGAAAACATCCAAAATAATTGTTTGGAAAACGCTACGACGGGCTCATTGGGAAGCGCCACAACAGGAACCCATCGGCAAGCACCACACAGGAATTCTAACGAATCGGAGAGCGCCACAAAGGAAAGCCGCACAAACAAAAGCAGGAACCTATCGGAAAGCACAACCGAGGGATTCGATTGGAACGCCTCACGCCAGAACACTTTTTAAACACCACCACTGAGGCCCCCCATTGGAAAACCGCACGAAAAGGAATCCGTCGGAAAGCACCACAGAGGGATTCGACTGGGAAACCTCGCAACAGGAATCTTGGAACGCACCACCAAGGGATGGTATAGGACACTTTCGCATAAGAAAACCTGTTTGAAGGCATTACTGAGGGCTCTTGTTGGAAAGCCGCACAAAAATGAACCCACTGGAACGCACCACAGTGGGATTCAATTGGGAAGCCTAGCAAAAGCAATCCTTTGGATAGCGTAGCAGAGGGATTCCATGGAAACGCCTCATGACAGGACCCGCTCGGAAAGCACCACGCACGTATTATAGTGGAAAGCCTTGCAACAAGGAGTTGTTGAACAGCGCAACAAAATGATCCTACGGGAAATCCTCACAGTGGGAATCCTTTGGAACGCGCCGCACAAGGGGTTCTATTGGAAAGCATCGCAACAAGAATCTGCCCGAAAGCGCCACAAGGAGATTCGATGGGGAAGCATTACGCAAGGAATCCGCTGGAAAGCGCAGCGGAGACATTCTATTGGACCCCCCCACCACTGGAATCCAATGGAAAACACCACAACGGGACTCGATTCGACCGCCTCACAAAAGGGTTCCTTTGGACAGCACCACAACGGCATTCTATTGACAATTGTCACGGTGGGCGGGCATCATCTTTTTGGAAGCCGCCACAGAGGATTCTAGCGGAACTCCTCACCCCATGTTTTTGCTTGGGAAAGCGCCACAAAGGGGGTTGTATCGGAAGTATGAACAACAGAAATCCATTGATCGACAAGACCAGAAGGATTGGATTAGAAATCCGTGCCGCCCAATGGGATTCCATTGGAAAGCACTACGAATGATATTGTTCGTTCCCTTTTCAAAACAAAAGAGAAAATCAGTGGCTGCTTAATACTGTTAGTAGTTGTTCAATTATTGCAGCAATTAACATCATTGTTATTTTCAGTCGAATCGCCATCAGTAGTACTCATTCGTATTAGTTTGTATATCTATATGTACCTTTGTATGTGTGTATGTATTCGGGGGGCGGAGGGGAGAGACACAAACACATTGCTTCCTTTGGCGAGGAGGAGGAGGAGGAGGAAAAGGAGGAGAGGGAGGAGGAAGCGAGGAAGAGGAAGAAGAGGAGGGGCTCGTGGAGCATGCGCACGCGCGCGCGCGATCTCAGTGCGAAAGCCTCGCGCGTGCGCCTTCGCCCCCCTGTGACTTCACAGTTCCCCGTTCTCTTGGCCTCCCCATCGACCGCGAGGCCCAGTTCACGGAGCCTCGCGGACGGGCTTTGGGGGCTTTGTTGGGCCGTGCGTGCGAGGCTATTGTGCGGGGTTTTGCAGCACAGCGTCGTCCCCGCCTGGGGTTTTGCAGGTCTCCCCTCCCCTCCAAAATGCCAGTTTCGTCTTGCGCCCGCAAGGTCCTGCCAGAAAGTGCTTCGGTGCAGCCAGCGACTTGAGAGGCGTGCTTACCCGGATCGTTGTTTCTTCGTTCCTACCACCCGCTGGCCCCCAAAGGACCTCCAGAGGCGTCCGCTTCCTGCGGGGGGGGGGACGAAATTGTCCTGGTCTCGCGAGGCCCTGCCAGGCTGCGCCCTCAGCGTTTGGCAAGAGCCACGAAGGTTCTGCACCGATTAAGCTAGCAGCACGAGACCCGAAGTGTTCTGCGCTCGACGCTTACCTGGCACGAGCTCCGAAGTGTTTGGCGCCAGAGATGCTGTCAGCACGATCTCCGAAAGGGTTCTGCGCCAGAAGCGGTTGGGACGAGCCCGAGAGTTGTGGGGTGAGGGGGCGCAGCGGTACATTACTGTTGGGCCCTGCAAGGCCCTCGACCCAGAGCGCGGAGGGCACGCCATTCCAACAGCGCTTCGAGCTCTGCCACGCTGAGAGTTTCTCGTTTCACGTGCCCTCGCTCCGAGGCTGAGCTTTGTACATGTGGACCGCCTGGGGGACCGATGTCTGGGGGCCCCAGGAGCCGGGCAGATGTAGACATGATCGGGCTGTGGGAGGCCCAGAGATATCTATGCCCACCGCTTCCTGGGGTCGTGTGGGATATCGGCTCCCTAGGCAGAATGTGAAGATTCCATCCTCCGACCTTTTGCCCCCCGTGTGGGCGGGTGGGCCCCCCCTGGCCCACCAGGGTTCCTCTCGTTGCCGCGGCTGGACACGGAGCGAAGAACTCCGCCGGGGCAACGAGGGTGGTGTGTACGGCGGCTGTCGGCGGCGAGCAAGAGCACCAGCCTTGGGTAAAAAAGGGAGGAAGTCTCGAGCGGGAGCGTTGTTGTTGCTGGGGGGCGGCGCCGATGAGAGAAAGAGTAGCGCGCCTGTCCAAGGTACAACAGGAGGAAGTCTCGAGCGGGAGCGCTGGTTTTGTTGAGACGGCTGCTTTCGGCGGCGAGCAAGAGCACCCGCCCTGAGTAAAAAAGGAGGAAGTCTCGAACATGAGCGTTGTTGTTGTTGTTGTTGTTGTTGCTGCTGTTGTTGTTGATGCTGTTGTTGTTGTAATTGTTGTTGTTGTTGTTGTTGTTGTTGTTGTTGGTGGTGGTGGTGGTGGTGGTGGTGGTGTTGTTGTTGTTGCTGTCGTTGGTCTTGGTCTTGGTGTTGTTGTTGTTGTTGTTGTTGTTGTTGTAGTTGTTGTTGTTGTTGGTGTTGTTGTTGTTGTTGTCGGGGGGGCCGCTCGAGCGTGAGCCTCATTTTCAATGAAAATGCAGCCGGCGCCTCGGCCAGAGCGCCAGGGCGCCTATAAGGGGTCCAACAATGATAATTGTCTTGCAAGAACCTCCTCCGAATCATTTCGACATATACCTCCTCGAAAACGCATGCCCGCGCATTGCTGCGCCGATGCGAGACTGCCAGTGGAGCCCCAGCCAAGGGTACGGGTCTTGCTCTGATGAGGTGTTCTGTGGGCGCGGGTGAGCAGTCCGGCGAGGTGATGGAACGGCTCAAGGAAGAGATGGAGGAGAAGGTGTGGATAGCCATGTACGAGGAGTACAGGGACGAGGTGCTCGAAGATGCGACGAGGCTTTGCCACGTCTCCGTCGCCGAGTGAGGGAGCAGGCGTTGGGAGGGCATTGAGCAACGCGTGCGAAAGTCAAGGGGAGGGGAGGGCAGCGCATGATACCTAATGACAAAAGGGCACACGCGGTCCGCAGGCAGGTAGCCGTTGATGATGGCAGTGTTTTTTGAGTACCAGAGCGGATTCGTCTCTTTACCAGAACGGATTACCACGACGTCCCACGAGGCCCCCAAGACCGTCGCAAGACGGCCCAAGAGGTTCCCAAGATGGTCCCAAGACGGCCCAAGAGATCCCCAAGACGGCCCCAAGAGGGGACCACGACGGTTCAGGAGAGCCCCTAGGCGGCACCAACAGGGGCCCACGAGCAGGAGCCCGAAAGGACAATTCGAGCCTTCCGTCCCAAGATGCCCCCAGACGGTCCAAGAGGGCTCGCCGAGCGCTCCCCAGAGAGCCCCAAGAGGCAAACACCATTGATTGTCCTCTGGTTTTTAAATGTTTCCAGGTTTCTCGACTTTTCCAGCTTCCGGCGCTCCACGACGTCCCAAGAGGCCCCCAAGACCACCCCGAGACGGGCCAAAAGCTCGCCAAGAGTGTCCAAAGACGGCCCAAGGGTTCCCCAAGCGGCCCTACAGGCGCCCAAGACGCCCCAAGACGGTTCCAAGAGGGGCCTGAGCGCAGCAGCCCGAAGCGATATTCCGAGTCTTCCGTCCTAAGATGCCCCCAGACGGCCCACGAGGATTCGATGAGCGCTACCCAGATGGCCGCAAGAGGCACAAACCGATGATTTTCCGTAAGTTTTTATGTGTTTCCGAAGGACTCGATTTTTCGAGTTTCCAGCTCTCCGAGACGTCTCAAGAGGCCCCCAAGATCTTCCCGAGACGGACCAGAAGGTCCCGAGTGGCCCCATGACGTCTCAAGCGAACCCCAAGACGCGCCCAAGTCGCCCCCAGAGAGCTCCGAGGCGGCCCCAAGAGGCCTCCAAATTTAATACAGGTTTAGCACAGTACGTTTCCTCGTCAACGACGGGTTGTTCTAAACTCGTGTTGAATTGTTGTTGCTCTGGGGCTGCTCTGGGAGCTCTCTTGGCGCCCCTCTGGGCCTTCCCAGGCTGTCCTCTGCAGCTCTCTTGGTGGCCTGGGGCCCCGGAGGCCCCACAGGTATCCAGAGTCCGGAGGTCCACGGAGGCCCTGGACAAGCAAACACACGCCCCAGAACGTGCAATCGCCCGACCACGTCCACAGAAGACCACCACTCCTCCTCCTCCTCCACCTCCTCCTCCTCCTCTTCCTCCTCCTCCCCCTCCTCCCCCTCCTCCTCCTCCACCATCATCACGACCACCACGACGATCTTCGCGACGGCGGCAGCGGCTGCGGCGGCGGCGCCCGCGGGGGCGGCGGCGGCGGCGGCGACGGCCTGGCGGCCCGGAGCCTCTGGGGCCATCCTCGGCCACCGTGGCAGCCACGTCACATGCGCCGTCAGGGAAACATTCGGCGCCTTCCGACGCTTCGCACGTCGATCTCGCACGGCTCCGCGACCGCCAGCCGAACCCTGAGCTATCCCCCAGAAGGCCCAGCACCTCCGCGCGCCAAGGGCGGCGCTTGCCTGGGGACCCCCTCCCTGGGTATCCTGGGGTTTGTGGATCTAGCGAAAGGTCTACTAACAAAGACTGCTCTGTCGGCTAGAACCTAAGCGCGCGCCGTTCTAGTTTGTGTATTTGCATATATGTATATCTCTCTCGATGTGTATAGACCAGGTGGTGTCGGAAGAATGCCCCGCGTCACTGATGCATCGTGGATGCATCGTCGACGCGTCAGCGACGCACTGAGCGCATTGAGGAATATGAGCGATGGATCAACACTGCACGATCGCTATACGGTCATTTCGGCATGCGCATTGAGGCCCTGCGCGAACGGCACTCGGATATCCCTTTCCAGGGGAAGGTGGTCCCATAGCCAGTCCGAGGACAGCAGTCTCCATCCGAGGATTCATGTTTCGAGCCGTGGAGTCGTGCCAAAATCTGCGGAATCGTGATAGACTCCGCACGTTCACGTTTCAGTCCGCGGATGAATATCTCAATCCACCGATTCATGTTTCGATCCGCGGGGTCATGTTTCGACCTGCGGATTCATGACACCATGCTGAATATTTTGTCGTTTTGCAAATTACCGTTTCGATGCGCAGACCGACGTGCATCTTCGATGCGTCCGCGATCCATTCAGGATACATTGTCGATGGGGGTCGACGCGGTTCGAGCGTCGCCCGCGCATTGTCAATGCAACATACATGCGGCGCTGTCCTCCGACCCAATCTGGGACTTCTACAGTCAACCCGCATAGTACGGATGAACAAATTTCCAAGGTTACCCTTGGATCCTTCCCCTTCGGCCCATTCTTGGCCGGTTTCGCTGGCCGCGCCCCGCTCGCAAAGTGCCGGCATGACCGAAAGCCCTTGCACCTTTGACGTGCGTCCTTTTTATACGGGTTGACTGTTGCTCGAAAGCCATGATCGGGATGGCACCTTCGCGAGGGGCAGCTGTACGCCACCGCCGTTCGCGGTTGGGGGTCACTCTGGGCCCCGTGATGGCGTGCAGGTTCTCTTGGTCGAGAAGCCAGGAGCATGTGGTGAGGCGTTCCAGGAAAAGCCTCGCCCTCGAGGATCGAAGGACTGGCCGTCTCTCCCTCGGCGGAAGGTGGCGGAACTGAGTTTTGGGAAGTGGCCGTGGCCGTATCATTTGAGGGCTTTGGGCCTGGGCGGCCCTGGCCGTCCGAAGTTCAGAGGCGAGGTCATTGGGGAACCAGATCGCCTTCTGATCGCCGATGGGGGCCCGACAGCCCGGCCCGCCCAGGAACGCGCGGCTCCCCCAGCGGAGGCCTACCGGCGATACATCGTCGATTCCGGGCCGAGGTTCCCCCCCTCAGTACAGCCCACTCCGCGTTCCCCGCCAGAGGTGCCTGGGCGGGTCCTGAGGCCGAGCGAAGGTTGACGGCTGTGTGGGCTCAGCTTCGCCCGTGCCGAGCCCACGAGCCGGGGCCCTCTCCCCTGGCCGGGGGCGGGGGCGGCGGCTCTGAAGCTGGAGCTCACGGAGGAGGTGCGGAGCGGGCTGCGGCAGAAGCTGGCGGAGGAGCCCGCGCCCCACCGTGGGACGTTCCGTGGCGCGCCACCGCCCGAGGCGGTGCGACAAACTTCGCACAGGGGTGCCTCCAAGAACCCCAACATGCCCCCGAGAGGCCCTTGAGAGGCCCCTGGAGGTCCCCGAGATGCCCCCAACCGGGAGCCAGATTCGGAGTGGCTTGGGAGTCTCTGTGTCGGATCTAGGCGCGTCGAGGCCGTCGGTGGGGCGGAGGAGGGAGGGAAAAGTGCAGATACCGCTAACATTCCTTCGTTTTGACCTTTTTGGGCTTCCTGGGAGGCCCTCGTCGCCACGGCCTGATTCTCCTCGAACATTTGGTCAGAGCGCACCCCGTGAAAAGTCCAGGAAGTAGAGGTATCGGTATTTTATTCGTTTCCCCAGAGCAGGGGTGGAAGGGAACATGAGGACGAGGAAAAGGGAAAGGTGTCCGCCGCTAAGTTGTTTGCCAGCGCCAGCGAAAAAGCAGGAAGCGATATCCGAATGTCAATACGCACTGACCACGCGAGCACGCAGTTTCCATACAGCAGGGCGTGAAACAGGGAGACCCTCTCAGCTCCCTTCTCTTCAGCAGCGTCACAGAGCATCTGATGCGTTCGTTGACATGCCGTTGGAACAAACAACATTGGCATGACACTTGATCCGCAAGCACGCTCCAGACTCACCAATCTACGTTTCTCTGATGCCATATTTCTTGTATCATCGTCTTCTGCGGCAACCGTTGTGCTTCTACGTTGTGCAGCCGTGCTCGCGCGGCAGGAGTCGCGTGACATAAGGTTTTGTTATTTTCAGAGCGCGGGTTCGAGCCTTACCTGAAGGCCGTCTCGCAGTCTGCTTTAGAATTCGGCGGTGTGGCCTACCTGCTTGAAAGCAGTCTCACACAGGGGCAAGGGCGTTGTGCAGCCGTGCTCGCGCGGCAGGAGTCGTGTGACCTGTCCAGGTCGGCAGGCTTTGAGGATGTTGTGTAAAAAAATTGAATACATCCCGAGCATGCTATCCGACCTCAGCAAACAAGCGTCTCACATCGACTTACACTTGCGTCCCAGCAAGACGAAGAGACTACACAACGGCCACGTATTCACTCGCAGGGGACGACCTCCAGCACATGTACAGGCGAACGGCATGATGATCGAAGTAATACCTCCCTACCGCTTCGCCGATCATTTGGGGGAACTGAAACAGCTTTCAGGACAGCACAACGCGAACTCGACAACAGGATCGCCACTGCATGGAAAAAGTTTCACGTGCTGGAAAAAAAGCTGACCGACACATCGTTTCCTTCGCATGACCGGCTCCGTTTGTCCAGTGGCGCGATCACACCCATTGTGGTGTACGGGGGCGAAAGTTGGAAGCTCACGCGAGATATGCAAAGTACACGGAACAGATCCAGCGCCGTATGATCGTACATGTGCCAAAACGACGATTGCCTGGCCCAGGCACCGACGCCGCTCCGCCCCCCCAACCCGGGCAACGACATCGCCGCGAACGACATTTTATTGGAGCCGTGGCCAGAATGGATGCAACGTGCCCGTTACGAGGCAGTACCACGAATGCGCGAATATGAAATGGATTGTTGAGCCACGATTACAGGCTGAAAAATGGGAATGGTCACGACAGGTTGTAAGCATCAGAGTGGCCGATGCAAATCCTGATGAGGGCTCTACAACCGGACCTGCACACGCCAGCCCGGCGACGCCCAGTTCGCCCGAAGACCCAGTGGGCGGACGATGTCAAACATCGCCGAGCGCGTTCCACTACTCGCAAAGTGCCTATTCGCACACGTCCGAAGAAAAAAAACAACATAAGTTCGCTTCGATGTAATTTATTGTAGATCCCCCGCCGGAAATCCAGGCCATTTGCGAGCAGCTACTTTGCGAGTCGTGGAACGCGCTCGTCGAAAACAACATGTGTTGACCGCCATTGGATACGACGATTGGACACGCTGCGAAGCTGGAGGCGTGGGAGACCACCTGAGGGACGACCACAGCGAGATGTGAGCGGGCGTCGGCCCTGCCGGGCGCTCCCTCGCGGAGCCTTGCGCCGGCTTCCGTTCCGTTCCGCTCCGTGCAGACGGGTGGCCAGCATTGCAAACACACGCTGTTTCATTCCCAGAAGTGCCCGCTGGAAAAAATCAGCTCTCAAGGCAGAGTAGTAGGATGATGCTGATTAAGAGGAGGAGGGCGGGGAGGATGGTGGGACAATCGCGTGGAGGAAAATGATGGCAAGGAGGAAACCCATGAGATAATGAATCGATCGCTCGTTTCAGCGGGGAGATAGGGGAAGGAGGGATACTGGGAACATATGGAGAGGGGATCCAAGAGGGGGACAAAACAACATTACGATGATGAGAGGAGGGGGCAAAGACAAATAATTATGAGGAGGTTGCAGAGGACACAGGAGGACGACAATGACAAGCAATGAGTATGGGGGCAGAGGAGAGGGGGCGAGAGCCAAAACCAGGGGGCCGGCCAGGGCCAGGGCCAAAGGGCCCAAGACCGATTGGTGGGGCCAGGTCAGGAGGGTCGGCGATGCGTTCGTCGATCGGTCTCGTAACTCGCGTTCGACAAGCAGTCGGTCTTGTTCAACAGGCTGCGCTCCTGGTCTGCCAGTCTCTTCCAGGAAATGCGGACAGTCGCGTTCGACAGTCCGCGCAAGTGGTCGGCAGCTCTTTCGACAGTTTGCGCAATTGGCCGACAGCGCTTTCCGACACATGCGCACGTGATCCAATCGCGGTCGACGGATTGCGCACCCAGTCTGCCATAATTCAGATAGATGCAGCGTAGAATTCGGAGCAGTCTGGGAGTATTTTGTAAGCGGCACGGAGGTGGCATTCCGGGGGGGGCGGCCGCATCGTCCACAGGGCGCGATGGGGGGCGTGGGGGGACTTCCCAGGGGGTCGAAGCGCGGGGGGTCCAAGCGCGGGGGGTCTAACAACTTCCCGCCTCTGTTCCTGCTCCTTCATCCTCCTGCTTCCGAGGGGACAGAGGGGGATGGGGGAAGAGAAGGGGGAGGGAAGGGGGGGAAGGGGGGAGGAGGACGAGGGCGCGGAAGACGACAACGAAGACCAGGGCGACGGCACCGAGGATGAGGAGGAAGTCAAGATGCAGAAGGAGGAAGAGGACCGAAATGACGACAACATGCAGCATGGATTTCGCAACGCCCGAGCCGACCCACTTCGAGGGCGCATGCGTGAGTCGACTTGTGATTCCGAAACACACTGCATCCTAAAACGCGCGCGTATGAAATCAACAGGTTTGGAATACAACATGGGTAGTTCGATAGGCGATCGCGACCATTGGCGTGCACCTATATTTTGCTCCTGGGCCAAAGCAGTAGGGCGTCCTTTAACATTACTCATGTGACAAACCCGCATTTCTCGGGACTTCGTCGGTCCAGGGTTCAACAGCCAGCGCAATAGGAGACCGAGGACACATGCAACGGAAGTAATCAAGCCTGGGTCTCACCAACAATAGTGGAATTGATCCGCCAGTGCTATGAATGGTCCTCAGACGGCAAGGCGTGCCCCAAACAGCTACTACAGAGCCCAAGGAAGTGTGAAAAGAGTTCGGCGTGGTTTTCACTAGAATTGCGGGCCCTTGTGCCGCCAGCGGCCCAGGAAGCAAGGATTCCGAATCGCAAGCTCGAGCATTGTAGGTTTCGCGCCTCCCTCCTTCCCTTGGCCCTCCGGACTGCAAGGGTCCTGCCGAGGACAGGCCTTCCAGGTCTAGACAGCGGTAGAATATCGCTGCGACACGAGCTGGCACGCACCCCAAGGTGCGCACGCAGCTCGTCTAACTTTGTGGGCTTCGTGCCCAACGGTGGCCCGTGCTCTTGTTCCTCAGCTGCACGACTGGTCGTCGGCGTTGTGCCGTGCGGCCCTCCCGAGGCCTGGGTCGGGGGCAGCTCGCCCGCAGGCCCGCGGAGGTTTTTGGGGCTCTCTCGAACTTTGGGTTCTTGCCGTCATCGTCGTTGGTATTGAGTCGGGCATGTCCCTCGTACAGGAGGAATATCCAAACATAGAGTTTTTGTTCCATAGCCTGGGGACGATGTTTCGACTACTTTCGCCTATGTTTGAAAATGTTTTGCATCTTTTTGAATTTTCGCCCAGAGTTCGCCTGTGGGAGGACGTGCCCGACCAAAGTCCGCCTGTAGGAGGACATGCCCGACCTAACGTTGGTATCTTGGTCATCTCCCCTTCCGTGAATCTCTCAACTCGTCCTGACTCGCGCGCGAAACCCAGAATCTTAGGCTCAAGGTCGAACAGAGATGCACAGAGCCAAACGTAAAGGCAGTGCCACCAAACACGCAGCGACAAACAAAAAGACATGCCACACTTACGATAAGATGTATTGTTTTATTTCTGGATGGCGCTTTTGGAACTACACGTCCCTGAATATCATCAAGTTGTTTTGCATGGTGTACACTCGAAGCCAAGACTCCTGAGCTCAAGCTCGAAAAAATATATTTCCCCACAACATGTGTGTTCGTTGGCGCTTTGAGCACCGCGCCCTCCCTGAAACCTCCTTGGGCTCACACGCGAAGCCACCACCCCTAAGTTCAAGCTCGAACGAACATTCGCGCGACATTTACGCTGCATATCAAAATCTGCAACGCGCAACAACAAACTACAGCGCAACATAAGGCTGCAGCGAAGCATCACGTAGCGTCATCATTGTTATTTGTGATTTGATTATCATACTTACCCTGGACTTCATTAAACCTCTTCCGAAGCCAAGACTCCTAAGCAATTGTGCGCAAATGCGAAACTCCAGATCGGCAGAACTTACAGCTCAGCCAGCAACTACATCGCCAAACCATGCGCAGTACAACAGGAACTGCTTCAGCGTCATCACGACTGGGGCTTTCGGCACTCCACCTTCCCTGAATCTCCTCGGCCTGATTCCTGATTACATGCGAAGCCGATATTAGCTCAATGCCAATTAGCGCCGTGCAGATCAAAACAAATTTCAGGTCACAAAGGTCGCATTGCATGAAC